TTTAGTCATTGAAGAAGATCCATGAGTTGAGTAGGTCTACCTGACTGTAGTTGATAGTTGAATTTATTCTCTGAATTCTTAATTAATTATGGGGTTTCCTTTCATAAATGAAAGGAGAGGCTGTCTTCCCCCAGTTGGAATAGCCTTCAGGTTTCCAGTTTCTCAGAATGTATCAGTTTTTGCATTACTGCTACAATTTTCTTTGTTTAGTCCTCATTTTCGCTGTGGTGATCTTACATTATATTAAAAGTGTTTAAGAAGAAAAAATCAGGGGAAAAAAAGAGCCCAAAACCCCAAATCCAAAGATGAGAGCTGCAGCTCCTGAACATGGGGTGAACCTGGCCAGGAGCCCAGGCAGCAGGGCTGGAAGGTCCTCAGCACAGCTGTAGGCACTGGTTTAAAACCCAGGCTTCTCCAGCAGGGAAAAATGCCTGAGGTGTTACACATGGGAATTTTGAAAACTTGTCTTATCTGTAATTACATGCCGGCAAATTTCATTTCCGTGGTGTTTGGCAGTTAATTTCTGGAAGTGTGGGGAAGACTGGAAAAACTTTGAAGACCATGGAGTCTAACATTGCTCATGTTCACCCACTAAACCCGTGCCCCCAAGGTACACATCCACACATCTTTTAAACACCTCCAGGGAGGGTGACTCAACCACTTCCCCGCTCCATGCTTGGGGGAAGAAATTTTCTCTTCAGCTCCACCTTTTTGCTGAGTAAAATGAGTGCAACCTGCAGCTGGTAGGGATGAAGAGGGCTCTGATCATCTGACCAGAGGAAGGGCTGGAGACGCCTTTGTTTCACGTGCAGTGTTAGTAATGCTGAGCTGGAAGCTCGTGGGGTGTTGTGTGGTCTGACTGACCTTTTTAGTTGTGGTTGTGCGTGTGCATATCCGTAACTTGTAGAAGCTCTGCTGACTCCATCTCGAAATATAACGGATGGGTAGTCAAACCACAGAAGCTCAATTTTGAGGTCAGTGCCTTGGGCTTCACAATTAATTTTGTATTTTGAAGCTTTAAAACCAAACTTAAACATAATGATTTGTACTACTTTGGCTGCTGCCAAATTCTGTAATTACTGTTGTTCAACAAGCACAATTATCTTTTGTTTTGGATTTTTAAAAACCTCAAAATCTAATGCAACTGTGTCTCAGATGTTCTCAGGCGTTTATGAGTGTAGAGAAGGATGCTGTAGATGATTTGAGACTACATTGTGTCTTTAAAACAGTGGTTTTGAGAATCTTTGTTGCCCAGTGTTTTGAAAGCTTTTTGCTCATAAGAAAAATCAGAATACCTCCATATTTAAGAAGACGTTGTAAATGCAAATTAGCCAGACAATGGCATTTTAATAATGTTTTGTGAGGTTAGCATTGCATTAGTAAGGGTATTTTAGAAGTCACATATTATTTATACACAATGTGGTCTCAAGAGATTGCTTGTGAATATGTTCAAGAGCTTCGGGGATTTATGGATTCATTTAATGGTGGTTTTGTTTGGTTGCTTTGGGTTTTTCTTCCCACACTTCTGCTGCTGAGTTACTAGATTTGGTAACTCCTGTCTCACTCCACCTCCATTCCCCTCTAAATTTTTTTACTGAAAACGTGAAGGGTTATGGAATGAGGTAGCTTAGCTGACCATGATGGAGATGTGTGAACCTTGCTTTGTCCCATGGCTTAGGGATGTGTCCTGACAGTGTTGACATCTGCTCTTGAAAATGCTCTTTGCTCTTTTCACCACGTGAGTCCTGGTCATGTCCCATGTGGACATAAAAGAAGGAAGATGCACATTGTGTTACAGTTTCTTTTGATATATGAGCTGAAACTGGCAGTGTGTGTTTTTAGCATTTATGCAATGGCAGGATTTTAAAGAAGAGCATGGAAATGGGGAACAGAATCCCTTAAGGAAAGGATCCTGCTCTCTCAGCAGGTGATGGGTGGTGAAAACATCACACTGAAGTGCACTCATTTGTACCTGATGTTTGTTCCTCACGGGAAGCAGTAAGAATAACCTCTTCTTGGGCTTGGTTTTGCCTTTGTGATGCAGACCCTGTTGAGATTTGAGCTGGAACCCATTAGAGAGTCTCCATCAGTTTTGCAATCAGCAGCTATTAATGGTATCTCTCAAGACAGAGGTTGGTTTAACCTTGTGTAGAGAGCAACCAGCATCCGTGAGGATGCATTCTCCAAGCAGCAGTGCGTGCTGGAGATGAGTGAAGATGGTGGTGGTTTTCACCTCTTGGAGCTGCCAGGATTTGTCCTTTCTTTTCATATCCTCAGCACTGGTCTCCCTTCTGGTTTTCTATTTCGCAAGCTGGCCTGAAGTTTTCCAAAACAGACAGAGCTTGGAGCGTTTTGCGGTGATGTTTCTAAAGGGTCTGAAGTTTTTGGGGGGCTGAGGAGGGGGAGGCCTGAGGGGAGGAAGAGTGAGATTTTTGTGTGCCCGCGTTGTTTTTCATCTCTTCCACACAATGGAGCTTTCAGAGAACCTCTCTTAAAAGGCATAGCTACAGCCTTTGTGTGAAGGGTGTGTCTGCTGGCAGGGTTTGCTGATGCAGACAGGCTGGGTGGTGATTAACAAAGGTCATTAGACTTTGGAATCTGGCAGGGCAGTGGGGTGGTGTGTCTTCTGCGCCAAGCAGGAGAGCTCCCCAGGGACAGGCCCGGCTGAAGCCTTCCCGCCTGCTGTCCCCCCTCACTCCCCCGCGCCTCCTCCTCCTCCTCCTCCTCCTCCTCCTCCTGCTCCTGCGAGGCTCAGCTGCGTGTCGCCTCTGCCTGTAGGACAGCTTGGACCAGTGTCTTGACGCTGTGAACGCAGCGTTTTGTGGAGCGAGCAGCCACATTTTGTCATCCATGGGGCAGGGGAACCCAACCCTGAGGAGATGGTGTGGGGAAGCCCAAGCCTTCTGCTGAAGGAGAGAAAGGTGCAGCTTTGAGGAGGACGCAGGGGGAGCAGAGCAGAGACACGATTTGGAGGGCAAGCCACGCTGGAGAAAGGGAGATGTGGCTCTGGGGGATGGTGATTTTTAAAGCATCACCTAAGGAGGAGGAGTTAAAAAAAAAGGGAGGGGGGGAGAAAAAAAAAGAAAAAAAGGCTGGTGTGCTTGAGCTGAAGCTGAGATAAGTGAGGCCATGTTGTGCACAGGCAAGAAGCTCTGAGGCTCTGAGTGCAGGAGTTGTCTGAGCTAAAATGGCTGCTCCCAAAGCTCAGAGGACTAGGGCAGCTTAGTGAGTCTTAAAGCTTCAGTGACGCAGGGGCTCATATCTCTTGAAAGTGTGATAAACACATTCAGTAGAGCTGTGGCTTGTTTGGCTGAGATGAAAGGACTAAGCTTGGGGGATGGGTAGTGAAAACTGGATGATCTGCTTTTCTGTGAAGTGCTCTAAATGCAGGAGTCGTCTGCTCCATGGAAAAATTTGTTTTCAGGTCTAATGGACTGTGCTAAAGGAGACGTGGGGTGGGGCTTCACTCACTGCTGTAATTTGATCCAGAGCAGATAGCAACCTCTTCCACACAATTTGGTCTGGTGCTTGCACATAAAAGCTTGAGTATCTCGATTATTGTAACTTTGTTAGCTGAAAAGAAGCTGGTGCAGCGTTCATTTTCTTTATTGGTGGTGAGAGGGAGTGGGGGGAGAGAAAGGACACGGTGCAGCCTGCAAAGTAATGTAGGTAAATATGAGGAGAGCCTCTGTGCTCCGGAATTTGACTAGCTAGAAGTTTATTTTAGCAGGCTATCAGAAGAAGCGTTCTTTCATCTAAAATCCTGGTGCAGTACCCTCTCTTGTTTCTGTGCCTTAATGTTTTGGAGCTTTCTCCTCACTTTGTAGGTTGCTTCCTTCATACTCCACATACAACAGACACATGGGATTTAAATTGCTGTGGGCTGCCATTGTGTCTTGGACCTCTGAAACGTTCCGTTTGTCATCCTTTTCCAGCAGATGGAATCTTAAAGAGGCAATTGCTGTATTAGCTTAGGAAGGTAGTTCTTGTGCCTAAGCACGGCACAGGGTAGGAAGGTCTAAGTCTTTTGTTTGGCTTGTGCTTTGTGTCTCCTGTCCTTCATGGCAGTGCAACCCTCTGTCGCACGATTAATTGTCACCACTGAACCTCTGTTCTTTCGCTGTGTCTTATGTTGCTTTGTACCTGAAGGTGTGCAGGGCTTTTGGATAAATCAAGGAAGTCATAATGGCTCTTGAGTCTTTGTAACTCATGCTTCCGTTGTACTTTTTCAATATGGTTATTCCCGTTGTTGTCCTTTTCTTCCTTCAGCTGTCTCCATCCCCCAGACTGCCAAGGCACGAAGGTCTCGTCCCTAGAATAGGCTGAAATGAAACTGTAAACATTTTAACAAAGACTGGAGGTGCCCTTAAAAGCTTGGTGGAAGGGCAGAGCAAAGTATTCTGCCTTGGGTTTGTGTAAGTGTATCTGACCTTGCTGTTAGGTCTAGGTTTTCAATATCAGGACAGACAGTATGTTGTGAAGAAAGACAGATTCCTCCCTGTGAAAGCTTTTGATACATGGCATTGAATGAGTCAGGAATTGGCAGCTTCCAGGAAGATTGGAGTGTGTCTCCTGAAGGCAGAAGCTGCTGTCTTCTGATTGTGAATTCCACTGTATGACTGGGAGTAATGTGCCATTTCTCTGCACATGGGCTTCGGTCTTTGAACAAGACCAAATTCTGAAAAACAGCCCGAGGTAAGGGAAAAGCCAAGAGGACAAAGTCCACTGGATCAGTAGTCAGTTGTCAGAGAGTTGAGTGTTCACAGAGTTGAGTCAGCAGCTTGTGGGCTACCTAGATAGGACTTCTTGTGGATCGGAGTAGACTCTTCTTAATAGGGTAAGGAAAGGTTGAGTTCCAGGCCGCTGTGTTTGTGGAATCTCTGCAAATGACTGAGTCATCAAAAGCTTGGTGTTACCTTGGTGTTTCCAGGATTTGTTCCAAAAGCGCTGCTGTAAACTCATGTCGTTCTTCTTCTCTCCTTCTCCTGTTTTTCTTGCAGATTTTTCTAATGTAAAAGATCACCCTGAACCATGGAGGTCCTGCAGTGTGATGGCTGCGATTTTCGAGCTCCATCCTACGAAGACCTGAAAGCTCACATTCAGGATGTTCACACTGCTTTCCTGCAGCCAACTGATGTCTCTGAGGAGAGTCCTACCCAGCCAAGGTCTGGTTCCATCAACGCCAGCAACCAGACCGAGGTTGAATTTTCTTCTGTAAAGGATGAATTCGCAATTGCAGATGACATAGCAGGTAAATCTCAACTCCAAGATTGATCTCAGCTCTTAAGATCTCAGCTTACCCCCTATTTTACATGTCTTATTTGAGTGTGTTTTAGTTTCTGCCTTGATTATGGTTTAAAAATCTGCATTATCTTTGTGGCTGTGTCAGCAAAGCAGATATCTAGCATCAGCCATACTGGCTCTGACCATGGTGCTTGTTTTTGGTTTGTTTTTATTTTCTTCCTGCAAATACAAGCATGGAGGATGGTTTTATTTCCCAGCTTCTTTTCATTGGGTTATTCATACAGATTTTTCATTTTCAGCTTTTCATGGTTGTTCTTCACTATGATGAACCACCTCAAAATTACAACTTTTGTTAGTTTTCAAACTGAAACTAGTTTATTTTTCCCCCCAAGGTAATTTTGGAAACTATCCACCCAAAACTGTACACCACAGTCATTTGTATGTAGAAATTATCCATAATGGTCACTTTTCTGACCATTGCCAGGTCTGTAGATATTACCATAAGTAAGTGAGGGAATCCTCTAATGGTTATTGTCAGTTCAGGGTGTGGTTACATTCTTAAGCATACAGGGTGGGTGAAGGAAAAGCCTTTTTTTTTTTATTTACAAATTTACATATACACCTTAATTCTCATTTTAGGGCAAAATGCAACAAGTCAGATGGGGACTGGAAGTTACTATAGCCAGAGCCAGACTTTCTATGGCCAGCATATGGCTCCAAACCCTAAACCAACCAGCAAGTTTTTCCAGTGCAAGTTCTGTGTGCGTTACTTCCGTTCCAAAAACCTCCTCATAGAGCACACACGGAAGGTTCATGGAGCACAGGCTGGGGGGAGCTCAGTGGGGCCACCAGCTTCTAGTTCCCTAAATTACAACATCATGATGCATGAAGGGTTTGGTAAAGTTTTCAGTTGCCAGTTCTGCACCTACAAGTCACCCAGGCGTGCGAGGATTATTAAGCACCAGAAAATGTATCACAAAAACAACCTGAAAGAGAGTTCAGCTCCTGCTGCTGCTGCTGCTGCTGCTGCTGCTGCTGCTGCTGTGTCTGAATCAACGTCTGCTTCTGTGCCAGTGCAGGAACCCTGCAAGGAGCTGCCGGCAGAGGTGGTGGAGCGGAGCATTTTGGAGTCGATGGTCAAGCCCCTGACCAAGTCTAGGGGCAACTTTTGCTGTGAGTGGTGCAGCTACCAGACACCTCGGAGGGAGCGCTGGTGTGACCACATGATGAAGAAGCACCGCAGCATGGTGAAAATCCTGTCGAGCCTGAGGCAGCAGCAGGATGGAACCAGCGCACCTGAGGTGCAGAGTAAGAGTGCCCAGAGTGCCTCTCCAAACTCGAATTACATGTCCATGAACACAACAGGACGTGAGATGTCGAGTGCTAATGTCTCAAACTTCAGGGGATCTATGGGCAATTCACTTATCAGGCCCAACTCTTCTACATCTTCAAAGTTTTCTTCTGTGTCTTACCCTCAAATGAAGCCTAAGTCACCTCACAACTCGGGCATAGTTAATTTGTCTGACAGATCCCGCTATGGAATTGCTGATATGACGAATTCTTCTGCTGACCTGGAAACAAGCAGTATGCTAAATGACTCCAGCTCAGATGAAGAGCTAAATGAAATGGACAGCGAGAATGGCTTAAACTCCATGGATCACCAGACCTCAGGAATGTCTGCAGAGCAGCTGATGGGATCTGATGGCAACAAACTATTGGAAACAAAGGGAATTCCCTTCAGGAGATACATGAACAGGTTCCAGTGTCCTTTCTGCCCTTTCCTGACGATGCACCGCCGAAGTATTTCCCGTCACATTGAGAACATCCACCTGTCTGGGAAGACGGCCGTGTACAAGTGTGACGAGTGCCCCTTCACCTGCAAGAGCTCTCTGAAGCTCGGTGCCCACAAGCAGTGCCACACAGGAACAACATCCGACTGGGATACCATGAACTCCCAGGCCGAGAGCATTGCCTCGTCCCTGAACGACAGCGCGGTGTCCTACGAGAGTGGGAATATCAACGGCAGGAAGTCAGCTGGGATGATGGAACCTGTGCAGCCGCAGCCGCCGCAGCCGCAACCGCAGCAGCAGCAGCAGCAGCAACAATCCCCCCAGCCCCATTCACAGCATCCATACAAGTGCACATTGTGCAACTATTCCACCACCACTTTGAAAGGCCTCAGAGTTCATCAGCAGCACAAGCATTCCTTCTGCGACAACTTGCCAAAATACGATGGGCCGCCATCAAACGCACCGCAGGAGAGCGAGGCAGATGCTCACCCCTCTGCCAGCACGGTGAAGAAGAGCCAGACCTCCATCCTTGGGCTCTCGTCTAAAAATAACTTTGTTGCAAAAGCCCCTAGGAAGGTCTCAAATGACTTCCCTTTAGATCTCTCTCCCGTGAAAAAGAGAACTAGAATTGACGAAATAGCAAGCAACCTGCAGAGCAAGATCAGCCAAAACAAGCAGCAGGAGGATGCTGTGATTAATGTAGAGGATGACGAGGAAGAGGAGGAGGACAATGAGGTGGAGATAGAGGTGGAGTTAGACAGAGAGGAAGAGCAAACAGAGCCAATGATAGAGGTTTCCAGTTCTTATGCACCCCAGCAAATGTGGGGTAGAGAGGCTAATGATTCCCAGAAGGAGGCGAGCTTCAGGAGCATGCAGCACGACTACAATTCCACCAATGGGGCGGAGATTGAGCTCACTTTGTCTGAGGATGAGGAGGACTACTACTCTGCTGTCAGCATGAAGGACCATCAGAGCCCTAATGCCTCTGTTCTGGGCAGTCAGTCCAACATGTACGGTACCGACCAGAACAACGAGAATTCGGAGTTCAGTGACTCTGGCAGGCTTTACTATTGTAAACACTGTGATTTCAGCAACAAATCTGCCAGGAGTGTTAGCACCCACTACCAGCGAATGCATCCCTACATCAAATTCAGCTTTAGGTACATCCTGGATCCCAATGATCACAGTGCAGTGTACAGGTGCCTCGAGTGCTACATTGACTACACAAATTTTGAGGACCTGCAGCAGCATTATGGGGAGCATCATCCTGAAGCTATGAATGTACTGAACTTTGATCATTCTGATCTGATCTACCGCTGCCGCTTCTGCTCTTACACAAGCCCAAATGTTAGAAGCCTGATGCCACATTACCAAAGAATGCATCCCACAGTGAAAATTAACAATGCAATGATATTTTCAAGCTATGTTGTTGAGCAGCAAGAAGGGCTGAACACAGAGTCTCAGACACTCAGAGAGATCTTGAATTCTGCTCCAAAAACTATGGCAACCTCCACCCCCGTGGCTCGTGGGACTGGTGTGCCAGCTGGATTTAACAAAAGTGCCACCAAGAGTTTCAGTCCTGAATGTGAAAATCAGAAGGAACCTTCAGTCAACACTGTGGTTGTATATGACTGTGACGTGTGTTCATTTGCAAGCCCTAACATGCATTCAGTTTTGGTGCACTACCAGAAAAAGCACCCCGAAGAAAAGGCCTCATATTTCAGAATCCAGAAGACCATGCGTGTAGTCTCTGTTGACAGGGGCTCTGCCCTCGCCCAAATGTCGTTTGAGCTGGGGGCTCCCATCTCCCCGAAACTCTCCAACTTAGCTTCTCAGCCTCCAGCACCCCCGCCGCCACCCCCAGACCTCTCTACTGAGCTCTACTACTGCAAACACTGTTCCTACAGCAACCGCTCCGTCGTGGGGGTGCTTGTCCACTACCAAAAGAGGCACCCGGAGATCAAGGTCACGGCCAAGTACATCAGGCAGGCCCCGCCGACCGCAGCCATGATGAGGGCAGGGGAGCTGCCTCCCGGCATCCAGAGGCCACCGGTGTCCATGCAGCAGCTGGGCCGCGGCGGGACCGAGAGCTCCATGAGCCCTCCGGAGAACGAGATGTTCTTCTGCCAGCACTGTGATTACGGGAACCGGACTGTCAAGGGCGTGCTCATCCACTACCAGAAGAAGCACCGCGACTTCAAAGCCAACGCGGATGTGATCAGGCAGCACACGGCCACCATCAGGAGCCTTTGTGACCGCGGCCAGAAGAAATCGGCCGGCAGCCTGCCCGCCCACGCCTCCGGCAGCGAGCGGGACAAGTCCAAGCTGAGAGCCCTCAAGTGCAGGCAGTGCAGCTACACCTCCCCTTACTTCTATGCATTGAGGAAGCATATTAAGAAAGACCACCCAACTCTGAAGGCCACGGTGACATCCATACTGAGGTGGGCTTTTCTGGATGGCTTGATAGAAGCTGGTTACCACTGTGAATGGTGCATTTATTCACACACAGAGCCGAGCGGCTTGCTTGTGCATTACCAAAGGAGGCATCCCGAGCATTATGTTGATTATACCTACATGGCAACCAAGCTCTGGGCAGGTCCCGATCCTTCCCCTCCTGCCCTAGTGATGCCAACAGAGATGAAGACGTATAAATGCAGGGACTGCATTTTTGAAGCATCTTCTATTTGGGATATTACCAATCACTACCAAGCATTTCACCCTTGGGCCATGAATGGGGATGAATCTGTGTTGTTAGATATCATTAAGGAGAAAGATACTGTTGAAAAAACCATGCCACAGCCTGACGAAGGTGGGGTCAGGATGGAATCTGAAGACCAGATAGCAACACCACAGATGGATCAGGATGCAGAGTGTGCAGAGGATCCCAGCCTTTCCCATGAAAAAACTGTGCAGCTGGCTTCTGCAAATCCTGCCATCTCCTCCACTCCATACCAGTGTACAGTGTGCCAATCTGAGTACAACAACCTGCATGGCCTCCTGACACATTATGGCAAAAAGCATCCTGGCATGAAAGTGAAGGCAGCAGACTTTGCTCAGGATATAGACATTAACCCAGGGGCTGTGTACAAGTGCAGACACTGCCCCTACATTAACACACGCATTCATGGCGTCCTCACACACTACCAGAAGCGGCACCCATCGGTGAAAGTCACTGCTGAAGACTTTGTGCATGACGTGGAGCAGTCGACTGACATAGCTCAGAACGACGTGGAAGAGACAAGCAGGATTTTCAAGCAAGGCTATGGTGCTTACCGCTGCAAGCTCTGCCCCTACACCCATGGAACCCTTGAGAAGCTGAAAATCCACTATGAGAAGTACCACAATCAACCCGAGTTTGATGTTTTTGCCCAGTCACCACCCAAGGTGTCTGCCTCAGTGGAGCCAGACATGGTGACTGAAATCAAGGCCTCCCCAGAAATTGCTGCTGAGGATGTTGGAGAGGTGTCCATGCCGGCGCCTCATTTCTCTAGTTCTCACTTAGTGTCTCACACAGTTTTCCGGTGTCAGCTCTGTAAATATTTCTGCTCCACCAGGAAGGGGATAGCAAGACACTACCGCATCAAACACAACAACGTCCGGGCGCAGCCAGAGGGCAAGAACAACCTCTTCAAGTGTGCTCTGTGCTCCTACACCAACCCCATCCGCAAAGGGCTCGCGGCACACTACCAGAAAAGACATGACATTGATGCTTACTACACTCACTGCCTGGCAGCCTCCAGGACAGTAAGCGACAAACCCAATAAAGTGATCATTCCATCGCCTCCCAAGGATGACACTCCTCAGCTCAGCGAGGAGCTGAGGAGGGCTGTGGAGAAGAAGAAGTGCTCGCTCTGCTCCTTCCAGTCCTTCAGCAAGAAGGGCATCGTGTCCCACTACATGAAGCGCCACCCTGGTGTTTTCCCTAAGAAGCAGCACGCCAGCAAGCTGGGGGGATACTTCACTGCCGTGTACGCTGACGAGCACGAGAAACCAGCTCCAGCCGAGGAGAGGAACGACTTTGAAAAGCCTGAGGTGGAGGCTGAGGCTCAGGAAATCGAGTGGCTTCCCTTCAGGTGCATTAAATGTTTCAAGCTGTCCTTCAGCACGGCAGAGCTGCTGTGCATGCATTACACTGACCACCACAGCAAGGATTTGAAGAGGGACTTTTCCATACTTGGAAGTGGCACCCGCTCTCAGAGCCCTGTCTACCAGTGCAAGCACTGTGATACAAAATTGCATAGCACGGCAGAGCTGACTGCACACTTGAATGGTCACAATGAGGAATTCCAGAAGCGTGCCAAACGTCAGGAGAGGAGGAAGCAGCTTTTGAGCAAGCAGAAATATGCAGATGGTGCTTTTGCAGATTTCAAACAAGAGAGGGTAAGGATTTGTGTGTCTGGTCTCTTTCTCTGCCCCCTGCTCCCCACCAGGGAGCCCACCAATGCCCACTTGCATGTTCTCTTTGACAGCCAAGTGACCACAGGCTAATGAATGACTCAGAGTGCCAGTGAGCTCCATAAGTCAATTACACATCCTGCTTTAATTTCCTCATCCATCCTCCCTTAGGTTCTGTAGGAAACCTTGTTCCTTCCTACCACTTCCTTCAGTATTTTCTTTATCTTCTTTCCTCCCTCCCACGCTTCTGGGGGGCCATCTGTGTCTGACAGTCGCTTGTTCTTTTGTGGCAAGGCTGCCATGTACTTTGTCACAGATTCTCTACAAAATGTCCCATCCCCTTCTTCCATGTCCCTCTGAATAACACATCAGTTTTCTTCTCAACCTTCTCTCTCTCAGTCCTTTCTCTCATTGAGCACTCAGGATTAGCATGACACAGATCTCTCTGGTGGCAGGAGCTTTGGGCAGGTGCCTCACAAGGAGAGGACCAAATTGTTTCTCCATTTCTTGCCAGCTTACCCGCTTCCTTTTGCTTCAGTTTGAAAAATGCACTTGCGCAGGAAAAGCTTTGCACAGAAGTTGGGGAAGTTCTGGGGTCCTGGAGGAGGAGGAGGCACAGCTTCAGGCCAAACCAGAATGGTCTTCTAGAGGACCACTGTTAGCCATAAACTGAATGTTTCTTCTGCACAGATGTCTTGTCCACTTACTTTGTAGGAATTAACAATCTCAGCAGAAATTGAGCTTGCAGTTCTGCAAGACTGGACATCCAAGTATAGCATCAGGTCTAAAGTCTGGTCTGTGCTCCTAAAAAGGAGGTGACAAATCCTGCTTCAGTGGTTTATGCTTGTGTGCTCAAACAGGCCTTTGGACACTTGGAAGATGTCTCAAAACTCAAGGAGAGGAAGGTGGTTGGCTACAAGTGCAAATTTTGCGTGGAAGTCCATCCAACACTTCGAGCCATCTGTAATCACCTCCGCAAGCATGTCCAGTACGGGAATGTCTCTTCTGTGTCGGCCACTGTGAAGGTAAGAATTCCTTAAAGGTGACTGAAAGTGACTGAAACTACTTGCATTGTTTAAAATAAAGGCCTCGCTGATAACCTGTCGAGGGCTCTTGTGAAGCTGAATGGGTTTTGAACTGGGCATTCCGGTTCAGCGTGGTGTTTTAATCTAACACTAAGTTTCTGAAGTGCATTTGGTTCATTTCGAGATGTTTTAACTTTTTCTCACTCTCGATCCAGGGGCACGAAGACTCTTTAATTCTCATTTCTTCTCAGCCACAAAGGAGTTGGTGTTGTTGATGACCATAAGACGGTTTATGAGCTGGAAACTTTCTCTCAGCTACTCTATGGGCTACATTTCTACTTAAGCTCAAAAAGAGTTGTTTGTTTCCTTTTTTTTCTGTATGTGTATGATTTTTATTTTAGGAAAAGGAAATGTGCACAAACAAATGTGTGAAGCTGCTTGTGGTGCACCTTTCCACATGGAGTTTGCAAGCTGGCTCCAAACAAAGCATTCAGTGGCCAGCTGAGCCAGTGATCCCCTCCAGGTGATTAGGTGCAAATGTGTTGTTCCTTTCCTCCCTGTGGAAAGGGGTGCCTCCTATGACATCTCCAAGGACAAGCGGTGTTCCAAAATCTGGTTTCCAGGGTATTTATTGGCAGGGGAAGTGAAAGTGAAGCAAGGCTGTGGGAGCTAGCTCTTGTCAGAGGCTCCTGCTGCATGAATGACAGGCCTATTTTGGTAACATAATTTGCTTTTTGTGATGAAACCCTGTCCTTCACAGCCTAACTCTCCCCACCTAAGAGAGCTTTCATGGCCCTGCCACTGACCTTTCCTTACCTTCTCATCTCGTGACAGATTCAGATGCTTCTCTCCTAAGAGTCCTTTCCCTCTCCTCCTCACTTCTCAAGTGATGCTTGTGTAGGGTCAGTGCTTTCTTTTGAGTAAATAAAATCTTGCATCAGGGAACAAAAGCTGAAAGGCACAGCCTAAAGAATGTGCTGGAAATGCCTCTTGCAGGTTATTTAAGTAGCTGCACAAATGCATGCTCTGGTTAGAAATGGGAAAGGAAGGTTATGAAAGAGAGTTAGAAAAAGGACTTTTTCTGTTTGCTCTATATTTTTAGAGGGTTCTGGGTCTTAGTCTACCAGCTTGTTTCGTGAGAAAACTTTGATGCTGATGGACAAAGTCTACTGAAGAGTAGACAGCTGTACTAGTCTGCAGGGTAGCTAAAGCAAAATAAACTAAAATTAACTTCTCTGGAACTTACTAATTATTATCTGATCAAGTTTAGAAGATTCACACCAAGACCATGTCTTGGAAAGATGGGTTTCTTGGCTTTTTGCACGATCTGACACAAACTTGCTCAAGGATTGAGTTTTTTGTTTTTTGTTTTTTGGTTTTTTGTTTTTTTTTTTTACATATGCCTGAATATAGTAGATGTAATTATGTTTTTCTCTCCCAAGAATAGGTCATTTTTTTTTCAGAAAGCCATTGATGTGGAGCTTGTGTAGGGACATGTTTAGAGAAATAATGCAGTGGGAAGCCTGGACATTCTGGTGAACACAGGGGAAAGACTGAGGGGCAGAAGGGAGAGAGAATTGATGGCTTTGGGGGGATATGTCTTTTTTAGCAGGAAGCTGAAGATCCTTCAAACACAACTTTGATGGAGGGTTTTGAGGGAGCCAAAGACCCTGGCATTGTGGAATTTACAGAAGCTGAATATGGAGCATCCCTGGAAGATGAAGCCAGGCCTGGGGGCTACCTCTGCAGCCAGTGTGACCGGGTTTTGATGTCTATGCAGGGTCTGCGATCCCACGAGAGGAGTCATTTGGCTCTGGCCATGTTTGCCCGGGAGGACAAGTACAGCTGCCAGTATTGCTCCTTTGTCTCTGCTTTCAGGCACAAGTAAGTCGTGGCTTTTTTTTTTTTTTTAAATTTTTTTTTTAATTTTTTTCCCTTTTTTTTTGGGTTTCCTAAAGAATCGCCAGCTAGCGGTGCTGGTTTGTGGGCTGACACTGAAGAAGAGCTCGCCTGACTTGGTGCTGAGCCACACTTTTCTCAACATGTGGTGTTTACATATTTTCCACTCTGCAAAGCCTTTGGCCGTTATGATTGGCTGTTTGTAAAAGATTGCACCTCCTTGTGTTCTTGAATTTGTGTTAGCCCTCTTTTTGCATGTCGGGGAGAAGCATGCAAGCCAAAGAATGAAGATTATTTCAGAATGCAAATGGTGCAGCCCACCACTTATGCCCACCTATGTCAAATGCATGAGAATTAACAAGCCAAGAAAAGTCAGTCTTCCACATTTAAGAAACTTTTGTTGCATATAACTGCTTTATTTGTACTTACTACGGTTTTTTGTGGGTTCAGTTTCCATTTCTAATGTTTAAACAGCGCCATAAATTTGCCTTAAATCAGACTTTTTTTTCTTAATTATGGCATGCAGTTTCAATCAAATATTTCAAATTCATAACAGTGTGCTGAATGACTCCCTCATCCTGCTTTCCTTGTCTGATATATGATAATCATTAATAGTCACATTTCCTATCATTTGTTTCCCTGACATTTGACTTAGCTTTAAGTTTGTTTGTTTTAAAAATTATTTTAATAGTAAAAATATATATGTCCCCCCAAAAAATAGGATTTGTGATACATTTTCCAATGGCAGCCTGGACCTGATTCACATGTTTGTGTTTCCTCTTAATTTCTGAGGAGAGAGCTGCTTGTTCATTGTTTTAACAACAGGAGACAGATCCAGGTGCTCATTTGATGCAGCACTCTTAAATCTGGTGATGATGTCATTGTTTTGCAATCAAATGCAGGTGGAAGAGAAGACATTTTTCAGTTCCTTGTGTTAAAAAGCAAAATTTCTGCTGGTGTCACAGCAATTGCAAATTCATGCCACGGCTGGAAAGGTACACAGGATTGAGCAGCCCAGGGTAGGAGAGGGATTTGGGGGAAGGATGCGCTGCTGGGTGTATTCCACCCTGTTTTGGCAAGGCTGGAAAGTGAGAGGAGCCCCTGCAGGGCTTGCTGTTCACCTGGTAAACTTGCTTCAACAGTCAGACTTTTGTTGAATTTGGTGCCTAGTCACTCTGTTTCCTGCTGAGGGTAAGTTGTGTCCCAGAAGTTGTAGGATGGTTGCATCAAAAAGTGGTGGATGGCAGGGAAGAGCTCACCACCTAACTTGATAATAGGTGTGGTCTCTGTTGTTGAAGTTGTTTGCTTCTTTTATTTTTGTTTCTGATGCAATTATTCCCCTGGGAGATTAAGTCGGTGAGGGAAACCAAGCCAAATGTTTAAACAGCCCACTATTCTCCCAAATCTGACCAAAACTTTAAAACCTCTTTTTGGAAGAGTGCAGCTGGCAAACTATGTGGTTGTGAACACAGTTTTAATTACTGCCATGTTGAATACCTTAAGGTGTATATATTTATAATAGCTTAATATGTATTACATACCTCTTTGGCAGTCTGCTTTAATTGTTAAGTAATCTCATTCCCTGGAGGCTATTTAAAACAAGTTTTGTTCTATGAAGTATTCACTGTGAGTCTTCAAAGCCTTACTCATTTAGGAGATGTTTTCCCCCATTTCTCTAGAAAAGCTGTGCGTTTTGTCTTGTCCCAAACTCCATCCTGGATTTCTGCTAAGTTGGATTTATATGAAGTGACCCTGAGATGAGATACAAGTTCATTTTCTGCTTTTTTGCTGTTATCAGATGTTTGAATACACAGGCTTCAGTGTTAGCTCTCGTAAACAGGGATTTTCTGGCTGAGGCTCTTTTCAGTGTGGGACTGAAGATCACGTGAGATCTTGTGTAGTGTGACAAGGCTGGAACAACTGCTATTTGAGCTACATGTTGATGCTCTGTAAAAGAGCAGGACAATTTAGGACAAATAAAAAGAACTACGCCTGAAATACATCTAGAACTGAGGTGGGGGTGGAGGGAAGTTTTGGCAAATTGCAGCTTCTGCAGTGTCTCTGCCCCGTTGTTGTTCCATCACTGCATGGGATGACTCCAGCTAAGACCAGATCACAAAGCATAAATGTGTCCAAGGTAGAAGCTGTGCTGGAAATATTTACAGCTTGGGCTCAGACTACCTGCCTGCCACCCAGAGACAGCGAATTCATGTCTGTCAGCCACAGCACAGGAACTGCAGAGCTCTGCAGGATTCACTCAGTTAGAATGAATTTGATCTTCTGTTAGAAAATGTGGGAAACGTCCTTTTTTCTCCTCCAAACTTGACTGAGCTGTTAGGACAAATTGTGTCGAGAGCAGTTTTTGATCACTTCACAGTATTCAGGCTGTTGGTACTTCCATTTTCCCTGAAGAAAGTAGAGGCTGGTCTTTGCCACCCCTTCTTCTCCTGCTGAGCTTCATGTAGAATCTCCTGCACTGCTGCTTCTGAAACTCTGCTGCCTTTTAATCCTGGAACTCATCAACTGTAGCCTGCTGGCACCCTCCCCAGAGCAGGATCTCTAATCTGCTTTTGCTGCTGTAACCAAAAGAAGGCTTCCTCAGTAAAGCTGGTCAACAAATTTTTTTTTTTTTTTTACTCTTGATCACCAGGACAAGAGGGGACATTTATATTTTCATAAAAATGTTCGAGTCAGGAGAAAAATTGTGTAACGATAACTTAATAAGAAAATAATTTCTTGCCTGTTTCATGTTTCTTCAGCTGGTCCTCTCAGTCTGGATCATGCAGAACTTAATTTATACTAATCTTGCCCTATAAGTTTATTTAGGTGGCTTGCTCTCTGTATATACAGAATTGGTGTCAGCTCTGCTCCTAGATTCATGCAGGCAGACCTGTTGAATTTGTTGCAGAGAGGAGTGTGAGAAAGGACCCTTACTTGCTCTGCTGTTGCTGTAAAGTGCTTTGCTTTGCCTCTGAAGGCACAGCTGAAACAACTGACCCTTTTCTGTCTCCCTTTTCTGTCTCTCCTCAAGCCTGGACCGCCACATGCAGACCCACCACGGACACCACAAGCCATTCCGCTGCAAGCTCTGCCCCTTCAAGTCCTCCTACAACAGCCGCCTGAAAACCCATATCCTCAAGGCTCACGCTGGTAAGTTCTTCCCTCTCAGTCTTGCAGCTGAAATGGCCCGGTGTGTTCTTGTGGCTGATGGCAGATGCTGGGTTGAGCCACGTGTTTTGTCACCAGAACTGGGTAAGGTTTTCCCAAAGGCCACGTTTGCGGCTGGGCAGCCGATGGAATCTGTGGGGCTGAGTGGGAGCCTGGGTAATGGGAAGGGCAAGGATTTAAACTGATGGCTACTTCAGTACTTTTTTCTTCTCTTTTCTCTCACATGCATGATATTTTTTCCTTACTTCTGCTTTTCTCCAAGTGGATTTCATCGCTTGTACCACAGATGCCATAACGAAAATGGCAGTGAGCATTGCTCTGCTCTTTGCATGTATGTTTGTGCTTTAGGTGAAATTTTTCTTTCTGGGAAAAAGACTGTGAACAGCACCTTGGTTTTTGGTAGAGTCTTATGCTGGCTTTCCTGTTAAAATCAAACCCTGCAAACACTGGGAGTCAGGTGTGTGTGCAACTGACTGAGAATGTCAAAATTCGTGTTACCAGACGTGGAAATTTGTCTTGCAAATCCCTGTATTTCAGTATGGAATCCATACCAGCAAGCAAGCAAGACATGCTTCTGAGGAACAGGAACTGGGAAGGTGATGTGTCACACAGAGTAGGTCACCTGAAATTGTTGCACCTGTGATTATTAAAAAGATGAGGATTTCCTCATCTTTATTCCTTGGCCATAGACTCTTGGCACCGTCACACATCCTGCATAAAAAGGTTATCTTTTGGTTTGCAATCCAAACGTGCACTCTGGTGCAAATTATAGGATAGTGACCAGTCTGTAAACCTGAAAACTAGCCCAGCTGTTTAAAAGTTGTGAGTTGAAACTCCTTGAACAGGAGTTTCTGATAAAAAGGACCCACAAGTATGTTCCTTTTTTTTATTTGCTTACTCAAAGTCATATACACTGGGGTGGAAGGTGAAAAAATGGGGAGAACAGGCATAAGAGATTTGTAATTGTCTGCTGATACAAAAACAATATATTGTTGCCATTGATCCAAAGGCATTTTTCATCTACAGAAATATAGGAGGGATTGATGGTCTTGTGTACTTTGTTTCCTGTATTTTTTTTTTGATTTCACAGAGCTTGTGCCAGTTTCTGTACTTGGATGGATAAAATAGATTAGCTCAACTTTTGCCACCTTCCTTTTCTATGGGAGGACCATGGCATTCTGTCCCTTCTGGGAAATCCAACTGCACCAGTTCCAGTTCACAGAATCCCACATCCTGTATGGAGGAGCCATGGTTCTTTATTTTCACCAGCCATTAAGTAATGTTTTCTTTATGCTATTACACAGCTGGGCTCCTTGCTTGAACCTGCCAGATTTTTAGACCCAAAGTTACCATGCAACTAATATTTACTTCACACTTCTCTTCATGTAATTCGTTGATTTATTTATTAGGAATTCATGCTTCTGAGCTTTGTTTAGTGGACAGACACCCCTTGAAGGGCCATGTTTTGCATTCTACAAGAACACAATTTCATGGTTGCCTAGATAGCGCTTGCACAGTGACTTGGGTAATAGGGTTTCCAAAGGCTTATAGATGTTTCTGCCTCAGTCCCATTTCCACCAAATGGATGGTCATGTCACCGAAAAGTTGCCTGTATGTTTTTCACTCAGAACTTTGCTTTGGTGTGTTTTGAGTCAGTCATTCAGAAATATGTATTACTGAACAAACACGTCTGACTTCCTCAGACTCCCCAGTTTTTTAATGGCATGGTGGTTCTCTGAACCTCTCTTATGTTTCCTTTTTTTTTTTTTTTCAATTGTCAATTGTCTCATTATCCATTTATTCAGAATTTAAAACTTCAATCCTCCTGAATTTTTCTGAACTCCTGGATATCTTTAAAAGTCCATAAAATCCTGAATCCTGAAGTATTTTACTCAGTCTGCCTCTCTGTCTCATTTTCTGGGTATGGATCAAAACTCAGTGAACTACAAAATCCTTTCTTGTGTGACAGCTGGTACCAGTGTTTCTGGCATTTGTTTTTCATCCAGTGTGTGCCATCTCCTCTGGCATGGAGCAGAACAGTTTACAGTTACTCTAAACGGGCTCTCTGTTGTTTTAATCTGAACTTTTTCACCTGTCCTTTAATTTTTTTTAATTTTTTTCTGTTTTGCTTGTGTTTTTGAGGAATCCTTGTTACCAATTTCTTAATCAGCAATTACTCTGGAAAAGCAGAAATGGGTGATTGTAACATAAGGGCATTGGTCCTGTTCAGTTTTTGTGTATTCTGGAACACAGTGCTTTGAGTACATATCAGGTGTTGAGACCCACTACATAAATGCTTGCATTTATTTATTTGTAATGTATTAATATGATCACTTGGTGAGACACAAAACTAGCAGTCAAAAAATATGCAGAAGACTTGTGTTGGGTCAAACTGTGCCTGATTGCAGAGGAAAAGCCAAAACAGCTTTTCCTCTGCAATCAGGCACATCCTTTCATGTTTTTGACATCCTTTGGAGATGAATAGTGGGCATATTTATTAGTGTGTCTAGGCTGCTTGGTGTGTAATCATCCTTTATTTGCTTTAATGTCTTGTGGTGCTTTTAAGTTAATGGTTGGTGCACGTTGTCATCCAGGAATCTCTTACACTGACAAAGCCATGAAGGTCTATATCTGTATCCCACTGGTGTCTTGTAACCTTGGAATACCTTTTGTCCTTAAATTATTGTGTTCCACTGAGCAACTCATGGTGCGTGCCACTCAAGAAATGTTGTATTTCTGTTTGTAAAAAGGAAATGTGTAACTTGTACAACGCACAGGTGAGGAATGTCATTTGAAAAAACACACAGGGCAGTTTTTTGTTTCACTACTTCAGACTCTCCGAGTGATCTGTTCTTTTTCAGATGCACCAAAAAAGGGCGTTCTAAGAGTTTGGTTTTGTCCTGATGATTAGCATGGTTTTTCTGGAAGACAGTGGTGGGAGTTTTGTGGAGGATGGTTGCTAATCATTTCAGGTGTGCTTACTCTGAATGGCTGCAAACACGTGTGTTTTTATATTCTCTTTTGGTTCACTTATTTCTGGTGTGGGAAACGGTGCTGCTTGAGAGCCTTCTTTGCTGGATTTGTCAAGAGGTGGAAAACATTTTCTGCTTCATCCATTACCAAAACTCTCGTTCTTCTTCTGTTGCTGTTCATGAAAATTTGCTCCTGTATTAGTTTTGGCACTTTATGTACAACTCATATGTGGCCAGTGTTACTCTTGTACATGGAAGTGGCACTGCCAAAACAATAACTTGGCACCTGTATATAGACTCACGTTGTTTGTGTTGGGACAGTTTCACTTTGTGTTCCAATTGCCTCCATGCCTCTGTGCAAAACAAATCTTGTATCAGGATTTGTTTCCCCTTGTTTGCTGTCTCTATGGCTTGGAATGTATTCAAAATTAAATCCACTACTGTGCATTACTTCTGTTCTTTCACTTCTTTTAGTGGTTTCTCATAACACACTTCCACACAGCCTGGTAGATACACCCTTTTGCACTTGGCATTGCCATGTTCACCAGCCTTGACTTTGTTGCCACTTCTTTGAAGACTGATGCTGCCTAATGGCAGGTTTTTCATAAGGAAATCTGTAACCTTTCACAAATGTAATTATACCACACACTTTTTATTTTTAGGTTTTTTTTTTTTCTTTTTTTTCTTTTTTGTTTGCGGAGGGCCCTTTGTTAGAGTTTTGTAGTGTCCTTCTTGCTTCATTAATAATGGCGCTGGATGTGCTGCATGCAGAAACAAGCTTCACCATCTCTGGTTGCTGTGCTCCCAAACAAATTTGGAAGTGCCGTGGTTAAGTTGCTCCATTTTCATCCCAGAGTCTGTTTTCTTCCCATACCATGCAACACAGGCATGCTGAAAGTCTGGTCTCTGTTTTTCTTGACATCAGCCGCTGTGCAAGGATCTGCAGTTGCCAGAAAGTGATACTTTGGTCCAAAGCAGGTGTCTACACCCACAGACTCCAGGCTGCTCCAACAGGGAGGCATGCATAGCTTGTTTCCTTTGGGATCAGTCTTTTCGCTGAAGAGTCCATGGGAATTTTACTGCCAAGTTCAGTAAGAGAAGTGTGAGGGCCCCATTTTGTTTCTTTTGTGAGCTGATGACTTGCCTGTATTTCGCTCACCCAGGTGAACATGCCTACAAATGTTCCTCCTGCTCATTTTCCACCATGACAATCAGCCAGCTGAAAGAGCACTCCTTGAAAGTGCATGGGAAAGCACTGACACTACCAAGACCCCGCATTGTCAACCTTGCAGCCTCACACGCCCACCACACCTCCAAGAACCACACTCCTGCTGAAGAAGTGGAGGACTCTAATGGTAAGAGGTGCCTCAGAGCAAGAATTTAATTGTCTAAGGTGCCGCTTAATATTTTTATTGCCAACCAAATTGCAGCAGGCAGCTTTGCACCAAAAGCATCTTCGTATGGTCATTAAGAGGAAACCAGAAGTTGCATCAAAACCCAAGAGTTAAACGTTGGTGTTGTAGGAAGTGATCTGCTTTAAGCCCTCACCAGTTCATACTACAATTATTTGTTCCCTCACTGCACCAGCTGACTTTGGAACATGTCACTGCTGACTTTGCTAGCAGAGATTTACCTTGTAGAAAATATTTCAGACTCATAATTTCCATTTGTAGCCAGTGGGAAAGGGGTCTTCAAATTCCATCCATGCTCCTGATTTTCTTTTATATTCATAGAATCATAGAATTCATAGGTTTGGGTTGGAAGGGGCACCTTGATGATCATCTCCTTTCACTCCCCTGCCATGGGCAGGGACACCTTCCACTATCCCAGTTGCTCCATCCAACCTCACCTTGGACTCTTCCAGGGATCCAGGGGCAGCCACAGCTGCTCTGGGAAACCTCTGCCAGGGCCTCACCATGCTCACAGGGAACAGTTTTTTCCTAATATCTAATCTCATGAGTAGAGCACTCTGATGAAACCACGTGATTAAGCTTAAAATGTGAACCAGTAATAGTAGGAGGAGTAATTGCTGTTGTTGTCTGTTGTACACCAAAAGTATCTTCAGATATTCAGCTGCAGGAAGGAGAACTTGAGCACTGTTTCCTTTTTTTCAGTGCTTCTTTTGAAAGCTTTTAATCCCCTGGTGCTGGAGGGGTGTGTAGAAGATGTTTGGAAAGCAGCAGAGGGAGGGACACTGTTTAAACAGAGAAAATGGAAGAGGTGGTGTGGGGTATCACAGCAAGCTTTAAGGCTTTTTAAGTAGTAGCTTATGAGGCATCTTTTGGTGTCACTTCCTACCAGTTAAGAGCTCTTCTTTGGAAAAAAGAAACCCCGACCTTAATTCCTGGATGAATTTCATTGACATGGAAGGAGAATATTTGCAGATGTTCAAAGAACTGGAATGTATGGAGGGTGTGTTAGAAGAAAAGGAAAATTCTTTTTTTTTTTTTTCCCCAGAGGTTGAGTGTTTCTAGCTGCTAAACAGCAGGAATTTTGTTCTTTGCTGTTTTGCTTGTGATACCAGTGAACTAAGAATGGGAGGTAGATATTATCTGCAATCGTTTTGTAGCATTTTTGCGTCTCCTATTTTCCTTTCTTTCTCATCAGACAAAAAAATAACCTAAAAAAACCAAAAGTGAAATTAAAAGAGTGAAAAAAAAGTTCAGAAAATGGCTGAAATGACTTGAAAGAAGTAAATCATCAGCATAAAAACACCTTATTGAATAAAAAAAGAAAAAGCAAAATATTTTTGTGACTTAGCAAGTCACTTTTTGGGTCAGAATCAGAATCTTAACAAGAGATTTTGACCAGCTGCTCCCAGACAACCTATTTGTCACTGGGTTGTCTGGAACAGTGCAACTACTGAGTTTTTTTGCTAATGCTGGCTTAAGCTAATCCAGCAAGCTGAGTACATCTTGAGATGTGTTCTACTGCTTTTTTTTTTTTTTTTCTGCTTTTAAAATAAAATGTTCCACTACTGACTTAAGAAGTGGAGAATAATTTTCAGTGGCTGTCCTATCATTTCCTGTGTGTTAGCAGTCTTCTGTTAATGGTGTGTGGACACTACTCAGTTTTGGGAAGGATGGCTCAGTTACTTTTTTTTAAATGTTGCTTAGCCCAGGAGCTCAAACTCTTGATTAGGGGAGTTAAAATTCAGGATACCTGCTGTATCCTGTAGAGGATAATTTTGCAGCCTTTAAGAACTCTTCCTAGAAATAGTTAAAACGATGACTCTGTTAACAACAGCATTTCATTGGGCTGACTTTCTTACCTAAACCTGTATTACAACCTGAGACCAAGGCCAAATTTGTCCCAATTAGCTAGATCATCTTTAAATGGGGTTAATGGTTAAGTCACTTTGACAATAATAGAAGCCACCCACTGGGGAGCTCATCAGACAAGTACAGGTGTTACAATAATAGTGTTAGCATTTTCAGCATTGCTTGGGGAAGGAATAACCTGCTTTAAGTAGTTTTTTTCACATTATACAGTTGGCTGCAGATCAGGTTAATGGTGGCTGCTCTTATGGCATCGCAAGTTTTTTTGGTTTTTAGAAGGCAATAAATCATTGCCTCCGTGGCCCGGGCACACAGGCGGTGTGCAAGACCAGATGAAATAACTGGTCCCAATAATAGGAAATGCAGGCACTGTTACATCCAGCTGGAGTATTAGGAAGGGTTGACGTGGTGTGGAGTAGCTGGATTTTGTCTGCTGGTGTGTGTGAATGACCTGCAGTGTGAACCGTGATCAAAGCTAATTCACCAGGGAGGCAGCACTGAACCTGGGCTGGGGTGAAAGGCAGACAAAAGGCTGCGTCCCATTGTTAGGGAGCTTGTTTTGTGGGCTGATGGGTGTGCAGCAGGCTTGTGTAATTGAAGTGGTTGCAGAAAGGAGCTGTTCCTGCCTGTGAATTAATGCTGTGGTTGGAGTAGGAAGTACGGCAGCGTGGTTTTGGGAGATTTGGGGAGCTGGCAGGACTCATCTTGTCGGCTGTTGAGCTCTGTAAAAATGTGGAAGAGGGAGAAGGGTACTGAACTGTAAGAGCAAAGTGCATGAACAGAGCTGCTCTGCAGCAGCAGCCCAGTGGAACTTCCGTGATGCTTCTTTTCCCTGCAAAAATTGTTCCCTGATGGGCCTTTCTTAGAACGTTCCTTTTGTTCTTTTGGATCCATCCATGCATTGAAAGAGGTGAATGCATTCAGATTTCTATGGCTCATCTCCTTCACTTCTGTGTTGGCAGCAGCAGGCCTAATCTGAAGTACTCAGCTGCACATCCCAGAGGTGTTTTGGGGTGCCTGGTAGGCTTTTTTTCCTTTAGGAATTGGAGCTAAAGTGGAGTAGGTGCTGAACGTTTTGGGTAGACCCATCCTTGCCAACTGTAATTCTGGTGACAGCTGTCATTAGAAAGCATAACGACCTCTTTATTCTAATTAATAACAATCATCCAGAGCGTGTGTTCTTCTCTCAGGGCAGTGGTGTAAGAAGGTGATGGTGTCACTCCTGATGAGTCAGCATAGAAGGTTTTTTTACAGATGCATCATTCAAAGATCCTGCCTTTTTTATCCTACCCCTCTTTGCCTTCTGGGCAATATTTTAATAGATAAAGAACCTGTTTTCACTGTCTCCTCTTCTAACCAGAAGTAAAGCACTCTGTGGGGTTTTTTTGGGGGGTGTGAAGTGATGATGTTTTCGTTTGTGGGTGTTCTTCTTAAAACAGTCATAAAAAAAAACCCTAGAAAATACTGGTCATGAGCACTATTTTTCTGGTTTTCATAGTATAGGGGCATTGAATAGTTTGTAGTGTCCAGCTCTTGTTGACACAATGAGGTTGCCATTGTGATAATGATAAAATGTTCTCCTGATAGTTCACAGGTGTTTTTTGTCTTACTAGAAGGAAATGGTGGGGGTTTGCTATATATTTGCATGAGTGTTTGGCTTGTTTGTTTGAATTTACTTATTTTCATTTTACACTAAAATGTTCCTTAAGAGTTCTGAGATCATGAGCAGCAAAAGTTAATTGTAAATGGAAATGCTACAAACTGGGGACTGGATGGATCTCCTCACAAAATCTGCTTCCATGTTCTTTCAGCCTTAGTGAGAATAAGAGCTTGTATTTCTGTTAAACCCTGGCCACAATGGGGTTTTTGGGGTTTTTTTTCTGATGGTGGTGTCATCCTGTAGGGCTGTGTGTGTCACAGGTAAGTGTTCCCAGCTCTGCTCCTGTTGAGGCCAAGGCAATGGAAACAAAAAAAAAAAAAATCAAAAAAAAAATCTGCATTTCCAAGGCACCACATTGGAATGCTCCCATCTCTTTCCATAAGAGCTGCAAAGACACAGAGCAGACGTGCAAAAATTGTGTGGCTCGAGCATGAGAAAACACGATGCAGCAGCAGGAGCTGGGGGCAAAGCACGTGGCCACAGACACTGCCTGTGTGAGTGGTGCTGTAAATGTGTTTTTGTGGTCAGGGGCTGGTGATCTGCTCTCCTCCAAACTGCAGGGAGGCACAAGAGCTCAACCCCTTGCCACAGAGTCTGTAAAGCAGAGTGACTTAACTGAGTGGTGAGCAGTTTCATGTTGTGCCTTCAAACACAGCAAAGGCTTCCTGAGAGCATGTGAAATACCTGTCCTAAGTTGCCCTGGCTCCTGTTACTGATTTTTGGAGTAGCCCTTTATTTTTTTAAATAACCCCTTTGGCCTAGCCATGTTGTGGAGCAAAGCACTGCTCTTTATTCATAATGACTGGCAGATTTGGAGCCTCGTAAATTTCCTTGTGTCATGACTGCGTGCAGTAATTCAAAATTACAGCTTTTTAAGATGTTAGTGTTTAAGAATATTGAATTGTCAAAATGAAGCAGCGAAGTGCCAGGCTAAACAAACCTGGATGTGGTTTCTAATGTCTCCTCAGTCATGCTGCTGTGGTTGTAAGACCATTTCTTTTTACTGGCCACCAGTTCTTGATCTATAGAAAGCAGCACACTATTTGTGTACCCTTGAAGCTCAATAATTATGCTTTTCACTGCTGTGCAAACCAAACAGGATTTGTCATTAATACCAGCACACATCACAAAACACGTGTAAGTAAGGTCAGAACTAGAAGATTTCTTGAGTCTCCCAGTACATGGTATGTCAACATCTTAATTAAATTTAATTAATTGCAACAGCAAATGCATTGAAAACTGCTAAGTGAAACATCCAGTGCCCTGTTCCAGGCTTTTTTTTCCTGAACTTTAGCCTTTGCCAGTGGAAAATAACTTTGCCTCATCTAGAGACTGAAATATAAATACATCTGCTTGCTTTGCCAGAGCTAGGCTGGGCACAAAACTGCTTGACTAAGTCTTGTTTCTTGGACTGTTG